TCACTCCCTCTGCTTTCCTCTTCCTTCCCCTCTCCATCTCCCTCTTTCAAGTTTTCCATGGTATAATAAGTGCTAACCATAAGCACTAACCTTATCAAAGACTTATTCAGAAGACTGTGGTTAGATTGTTCTTGCTATTTTCAAAATAGTTGCCAACCAATTGGGACCACCAGTGCTGTAAAGGTTCCACCCTATGATGAGTCAAATAGCTTCTGTTTTCTTAGTTATGATCACGCTACTAAAAAAGATTAAATGTATTATGGAGCATGCGTATAGGTTATTCTGGTCTAGGGGGTCAATCCTGACATCTGGCTGAGGGAAATACATGTTTATGGATATGGGTGAGGTTATCAGTGCCCACCACCATTATATCAAACCTACCTCCTAAATCCAGAGGATGAGATCACTTCCCCTAGTGTAGTACAACTGTCATTGTCATCCGGAGACCAGGATGATGGGCAGTCCGTCTTAATTTGATCAGAAAGGGGGCTGCTCCCACCCCAGGTCTTTAACAATTCAAGTCACACTTCTGGTTTATTTTGTGTATGTAGGATGCACGCTACAGTGTGGGTGTGGCAATCAGAGGACAGCTCGTGGCATCTGTTATTTCCTTCCATCATGAGAGTTTTAGGGGACGAACTCGGGTCCTCAGACTAGACAGCATGCGCCTTCACCCACTGTGCCAGCCTGCTGTCCCAGAACTGGCTCTTTAAATGTTGGCTATAGATGGCAAGCCTCACCTGCTCAGCTGTCTGTTCTTAGGCTTGCTCTTCCACAGCTGCACACGTGCACAGACAAGCAAACGCTCAACAAGCCATGCACTCGAGACTTACACACTATGCACTGCACACATTACATCTCCCTATAAAGGTATTTCAAATTTAAAAAGGAAATGCTAAACACAAAATGTTTCATGTATTAAAAAGTCTGCAGGTGAATTTTTTCCATAAGGACAATGTATTTACAGAGTGTTAGTGAAATTACAATTTAAGAATCATGCAGATGGAGCTAAAGTGTCTTCCAACACCTTTACAAGGGTGTGCACATGCTTGTGCGCACACACTCAGAGAGAGACAGACAGAGAGACATAAGAGACTTAAGTCAGGAGACCAAAAGAAAAAGAAACGGAAGTGCAGTTATACTCTAATTGGAAGACAGAATATTCTCAACACTCTTCTGGGCTTTCTTTTGCTTTCCTTTTTTGTCTTTGTTCTCTTGCTGTCTTTCTTAAACCCTTTCTCAGTTGATTTCCTATCTTAAAGAGAATCCTTCTAATTTCTACTGTCTTGGATTAATTTTGCATGTGTTGAAACTTACTGTCAGTGCAAGCATGGAGCACATCCATCACCTCTGGGGCTTTCCTGGCCTTCACCCCCTCACCACTACATCTTTGACATGAAAGCATGGTGCTGATTGGCAGAGCTGTTCAGTTTGGGACAGTTAAGTGACGTCATTGCAGGAATACATACTTTACTGCTGGATTCTACAGCTGATGCCCCTCTGCCTTGTCTTCATGTCTCTTCTTGGATCCACTTGATTTGCAGGGTTTAGCAATTTGCTCAACTTGTCTAAGAAGTCAAGTATTGTAGATTTATTAGTACTTTCTTATGTGTAATCACTTTGCATCTATGCTCTTGGTCTTGTAATTAATATGTTATTATGCATGATTAAGTTTTAATAATAAACCCATGGTTAACCCCAAATCCAGGGGAATCCACTTAATTTTAGCCACAAGCAAGAGCTGAGCCCTGTGGCACCTGAGAGCCAAGCTCCTCTCAGTCTTATTATAGATCACGAGCTTTTCCTGGATAAAGAGGAATTCCTTTAGAGCTGTCTGATTGAAGCGTAAGGTTTACTACTTTGTCAATATAAAAGAATTATGAGCCATCATGGCATTGCCTTAGTTGTGAACTGTGTGCGAATGGTCACTCATCTTACCCATTCCTGCAATGAGTGCTTTCCGCGAGGTGGCTTAGCATCTGCACCTTGAGGAGTCCCTTCACCAGTCCTTTGAATATGCCCACGGTCCATGCGCCTGTTCTGGACAATAGAAGTTCCGTAGGTAAGACACAGGTGGAGGCTAGGAAAGGACCTGCACATTCTATTAGAGGAGATTTGTCTACGTCCATCAGAATGAGCCAAGAGCAGGCTCCAGGAACTGTCCATCTGGCTGCTATCATGCTATCTGTTGGTTTGTTCAGTCATACTGGTCCAGACCAGAATGAGCCAGAAACAGACAGAAGGCCAGAGCATGACTACCCATATCTGCCTGAACTTTCTCGTGCACCTTACCTTTCTCTTTTATCCTTTCTTTTTCTTAAGTATTTTTCAGGCACTTGTAGAAAGATAAAGCCGTTGATGTACAATTCACCTGGGAGATAGCACAGGACTGATTATACTAAACTGTAAAACTGAGACAATGAATGTGTCAATACAGTGTCTGCCTTTACAAAGGACAAGCAGAACACCTCCTTGGGAGGCAGAACTGCTGATACCCTTCTGTCTGTCTGTCTGTCTCTCTCTGTATGTCTATCTCTCTCACACACGCACACTCATATATGGTATATGTGCATGTCATTAGGTATGCTTGCCTGGGCTAGTGTGGTATGTAGAGAAGCCACAGACTCATGTAGAGATAGCTCCCCTTAATCACCAGTAAGTGTAACTTATTTAATGTTATTGTTTTATTTGTTTTTATATTTATTTGTGTGCATACACATGCATCTCTCTCTCTCTTTCTTTCTCTCTCTCTCTTTCTCTCTCAGTGTGTGTGTGTGTGTGTGTGTGTGTGTGTGTGTGTGTGGTGTATGTGCGTACAGGTCAGAGGACAACTTCCGGGAGGAGTCTGTTCTTTCCTCTGTTTATGTTCAGTTCTCTCAGGATCAAACCCAGGTCGTCAGGCTTGGGGACAAAACTCCCAGGTGCCCACTGAGTTTGTTTGGGAACAATCAGATTGTGTGTTCTCATGCAGGTCTCTGTAATGTGCTAGTTTACTGCACTATGTCCTGGGTTATTTCTAAGATTTATTTTACAAAGCCCACAGAAGTCCTTACAAATTAGCTGTCTTATTTGTTCTTAATTTAAAATTTCCCATCTAAATAAAGCAACCAGGAGGCAAAGAATGGAGTATTTTGACCAAAGGTGAAACAGTTTAATGCAAAAATGTTCTTGTAGGAGAGAAAAGTAAGGACACTAGGAAAAAGATAATTTGTGTTTGTCTCTTGTTGATTTTTTAAGGAGAACACCTTAGAAACATTTCCTGGTTCTAAAGATGTCTGTAGCTATAAAGGTTTATAGGAAGTGAAGTTATAATTGACTCTTTATTTTCCAGACCATCTTACCTTTTATTTTTTAAGATGTGACCCTCAGGTTACAGAGACTGTTGAATTATTGGAATGTTTCTAATATTTCAGAGGACAGAGAAGACTGCTTTGAATACACTAAGAATTATACAGAAATGACTGCTGACATGTTCATACAAATACCCATGCATCAGCTGGCAATTAGGTAACGAAAATTCAGTAGTCCCATTGCTTCTCTGGTTAGCTTAGAATCTGTGTTTTACAAGCCCAGTGTTTGGAAATACAAGACGTCTCTGGCCCAAAGAAACCAAGAATATTTGGAACAGGATGTCCTGAGGTGACAGAGGTCAACAAATAAGTAGAGAAACTTCCATCAGTTGGCCATTTTTGAAGGGCATCCACCTAAGTTTGGAGCCTCATGCTGGATCCTTCCTCCCAAAGAGAGAGCACTCAGAATTGCCCACACAGTTTCTGTCTTCCAGTGTCAGGTCCTTTTGATTAAAGCATTGCATGGAGTGATGTTCACAAAAGCAAGAAATAGGAGGGGCCTGGCAGGTGCTTACAGGATAAGGTGTACTGGTACTTTAAAAATTAAGCACGCATGGTCCAACCTTACTCCCTCCCACTGACTAAGGTACCAGCTGAGAGCTGGGACAGCTCAGTTCCAGAGGGGCCACCAAGCCGCCAGCACTGAGTTACAGGTAACCTTTTGAGCTGTGGGGGATGTTTTACCTGAGTGCCAAGTCTTCCTCGTGGCCTTCCTCTTGCTGGGGCCTACTTTCTAGAAGTAATGAGGAGGGGGTTAAAGCAGGGGTTGCCAGGCAACATGGGACAGAGGTCCTATTGAGGAGCTATTTCTCATACTGAAAGGACCAGTTGAAATGCAATAAAGAGATGGTAACTCGCCTTATTTATCAATACAATTACTTACACGGTATTAGGAATCCATATTTAACCTCCAAATACAGAGTCATATGTGGAAACATTAACACAAATGCTTGATAAATATTAAGGCGCAGGGCAAGCAGATGGTATTGAGTCTCTAATCAGCTTTACTGTGAGCTTAAAGTGGCTGCACAGGCTGGGATGAGGGGAAAGGCACCGAGTGCTTAGCTAGCTCCACTCTGGGCATCTGCAAGTTAGCTCCGGTCACAACATATGGTGTTCATGGAAAGAGCTCTAGGATGCTTTGCCGCATTAATTAGAGCAGGTAGTGCCAATTCCCTGGGGTCGAGTAACAGCTCAGAGGAGCTATAAGTCTACAATTCGAATCACTATCATATGTAAATACCTAAACTGATTGTCCTGTACATGAGTGTGATTTTTCCGATAATCTCAAGATCTTTATCAGGAGAATTGGTTTTAGACACCAAGTTACATGGTTCAGAATAGACTTTGAGAAATCGCCATTGCTTTAGCAGGGGGTGGGGACTCAAAGCCTTTATGCTTAGGATGAACTCTGGCTTCTCTTGACTTCTTGTGTGTTTGTTCAGCAGACACCAGCTTTGACTCATGTCTCTGCCCTCTCTAAGGAAATCCTTTCTCTGCTCTTCCTATCAAAGAGTGTTTTCAGTAGCCCAGAGATAGAGAATCCCCATATTCAGGTGGCCAGCCTCTAAAGTGTTCTGGCGAGCAGAGCGGACTTGATTATTAACTTAGGAATGATTCATCATGGGGTGAAAAATGCTTTTTGTAGTCATGAGCTACCTGGCTCTCCACTGGGTTTCTTGTGTCAGGCCACTGAAACATTGATCTTTGCCTATTTGACCTCAGTGTCATTGGCTGCCTCCCAGGGCCTTTTCCAAAGGCTGGAGAATGTGGGTGCTCTCAAGAAGGTATCCATGCCATGGGCGGATTCCCAGTCCCAGCACTTTCTGTCACAGTGCAGTGGATGCTGAGAGAGTGTAATTCTGTACCAGAGGCTGTGTATCCAGGACTGCCCTTACCACTGTCTCTCTTCCCTACACTGTTCTCCTAGAAGGCCTCCGGAGCTGCCTCTCAGCAGACCCCACGATCTCCATCCTTATTATGGAAGCCACTCCACAAACTTTATATTCAGAAGTCACAAGAACTGCCCTTCTCTGCAAGCTCCAGGGCTGGCAGCAGAACTTGCCGCAGCTGTGTGGTGGAAGGCTGAGCAAGACGGTGTGACGTGAGTAGTTCCAACAGTGTTGTGTGTTTTCAGTTGGTCTAGGACCTTGAAAAACTGAGTTTGAAGATCTCTGCAATCTGAGGTTTCACCTCAGAGAACAAGGTAGCAATAATCTGAGCAACTCCAGGGCCCTACAGATGAAGACCAACTGCTACATTAGATTTTCTTCTTCTGACTTGGCAATTTGAATATTCTTTTTTTCTGAAATGTTTTTCTTCTGCTGTGAATGGAGTTGACCATGAAAAAAACAGTGTTGAAGTGGTCGTGTTGGAGGGCAATACAGCTAAACATATACCAATCATATACACAATTTTATATATAATAGTTTTATATAATATACAATATAGTTACATATCGACAATATCAATCATATTTGAGTCACTTATTATTCATTTATTTCTCATAAACTATCTGATCTTTTTGGTCTTAGCCCTTGGAATCTAGAGGAAGTTCAGAGTACACTTGTAGGCACAGGTGCCAGTACAGAATAATTATGTTTGAAGTCTTGCTTGAGTGTTATATATACAAATTATCCCTGCTCTAATTTTTTTACTATGTAGGTAGCTCGCTGTAGGCTTAGGGATATTTCAATATCTTTATTTTCTGAATAAATGTTTACATGATTATTGGAATGTGTTCAACACATGAGTCTGATATATGAATAGCATTCCCCTTCCGAACAGTTCGAACTCCGGTCTTCACTGTGCAGTGTTTCCATCTTCAAGTTTGTTAGGAAGTGATTAAGCATGAGAAGTTCCTCAAAATTTTCTTGCTGTTGCATCTGCTAAGGATGCCCTCAACACGAGTTAAGAATGAGCTTTCCTACAACGAACTTTAGTCTGTATGATCACAAGCTTTTCCTTCTGTAACCTTTTCTCAAACTGATATTTGACACAAGTCCTTTAATAATGCAAAGACAGACCAGAAACTTAACAAGCAACATTTTCAGCTTTGCTTCACTTAACTCACTTTGAAAATGTTAGTATGTATGTATCTATGTGCATGAGTATGCAAGTGTAGTCAAAGTGCCTGTGGAGGACAGAGAGGGTATTGGGACCCCTGGATCTGTCGATGTAGGTGGGTATGAGCTCCCTGACATGGATGGTAGGAATTGAACCCAGGCTTCTGTAAGAGCAGCAGGTTCTCTTAGCCTCCGAGTCATCTCCCCAGCTCCCACTAATCTTTTATTTTTAACATTAAACTTGTTCTTTGGCATTTTTATCCATGCATAAAGTGTGTTCTAGCTACTATCACCTCATCTTTTTTTTTTTTTTTTTTAGGAATCATCATCTCATCTTTTATCTCCTAGCACAGTGTTGGGTACCCACCCTTGTGATGTTTGCTTTGTGGGGCTGTGTTAGGCGAGTATTTCAAAATGTAGGAAACAACTCAGAAATTTTGCCATCTCATAAACAAATGTGACTTTGTCAGAGGTGTTTGTGTTCCATCTGCCAAGTGAAAGTCCATGCATTTTACTTTTGTGTAAAATTTGGAGTGTAGAGTCACGGTCTGTTTTCCTTGTTCCACTGCTTCCCCCAGTGGACTTTGCCATTTTATGTTTGGAAATTCCAACTATTTGTTATGTCCTCTGCACCCATATTTTAAGACATTTTTCTCAAGCTTACAGAGACATCTCTGTACCAAATATCTCCTCTATTGGCATCATTTTGTATAGATAAGCTACAAGGGCATTTGCAGAGGTGGTGGCATGAGGTTTCTAGTTTGGAGGGTCCATTGCTTGTACCAAGGTCATTTTCATTCTCAAAGCCAAAATACCTATGGGAATTGGGGGAATTTGGGGGTGTTTGCACTAGATAAGTAAAACAAACAAAACATGGATTATCCAATTATTGTGTATTCAGAAGCAGAATAAATCCAGTTCCTAAATATTTTACTACCTGCCTTCGCCTCACATTTATTATCTACCAAAGCTAGAGTGTTTACAAGCAAACAAAATAGCAAGGGAGATAATCAATAACATATTAAGAAAAGCATTTTCAGCAAGCTTGGGGAAATAAGTCTGCATTTGGCAAATACAATCCTGTGTAATGATTGAATTCTCACTTGTAGATTTTATACTCAAGACAAATGAACAAAGGAAAACTCTGAGAATAAGGCCCAGAGATGTAGGGTGCAGGCAGATTCCCCCCCCCCATGTCAGTAAATCACAAATATTCAGCTTCTGAAAGGTAGTAGTAGTATGTATGTATGTGTTTTAATTTTTTTTTATCTAAAATTGTATGCTAAAATTAAAAAGATGCTTTGCCCAGGGCAGGCAAAAGGATAGTAAATTAGTGTCAATAGGAGAGAGACCCTTGCTCTCCCCAATCTTATTCTATTTCCCAACTCGAGACAAAATAGGTGAAAGAGACTTGAGGTTTTTAAAATGTCCCTTTTAAGGATCTTTAGCAGCAATTTTTGGGGGGCCCAATGTTACCTTTGCCTCTGGGATGCTCCAGACGGGACTGACCACTTTCGGGAGGAGACTGTGGTATTCCATACACCTCCATGTCCTCAGAATACTGATGCCCCGATGGATGGATTCTGGCTCCTGCCAGAATGGCAAAGCAGGTTTAATGAGCAGGAAGGACTGCTTACACATAGTTGAGCTGAGAAGAATTTTTCATGGTCTGCAGTACCCGTAGAGATGCCTTGCCTAAATAAATGGCCATCAGGTTAAGACAGAGTCCCAGGCTGTGAAATATATACTAAGGGACCCTTTAAAGAAATCCAGCCCGGAATGGTGGTATACCCCCATCACCTCAGCACTGAGGAGGCTGGGATGGAGAGACTGCAGGTTTAAAATCAGTTTGAGCTAAGTAGAAAAACCAATTCTCTGAGGAAAAGTGAGTCTATCTTATACCTGAGATACTTCCTAAAAGTTGTTCTATGTTATCAAGATACTACTTGATCTTATTCTTGTAAAGAAGACTTCCATCCAAGGCCATTCCACCAGCCCAGGGTCTCAGCTGGACAGCTGGCCCTGGAAGATGCAAGTGGTCATCTTTACACACTGCTTTTGACTTTAGGCCAATGGAAGATGGAAGAAAAGAGGAGGCGGTGGTTGTTCACCCTCTGTTTCATCATAGGAATCAAATAGAGCAATTCTGACTCCAGGGCTAATAATTTAGAGCCTTCCATGGACTCCAGATTCACTTAACATTAAAAGAAGAAAGATTTGCCCTGGTAACTCAATACGCATGTGGGATGTGGGCTGTCCTACCACTTCCTATAAAAGGAATAGCCAGGGGACCAATGAGCCAGCAGCCTAAATGTTAGTTTTCCAGTAGGACGCTATGGCTTTACTTTCCATCATGAATCTCTAATGAAGGGTGTTGAGGCTCTGAGGAATATATTGTAAATACGAATTCTAGTTTTTACTGAAATAAAATAACTTCAGCTGGAACAAAGCTTTCTAGGGTTTTACTCAAAGTACACCTTGAGTGAGGGGTCAGGGTTACACTAACAAAATACCCCGTGTGTCGTTTTGCTTGGATGCTGACCTCTTCTATCTTTTCTGGTTGCTTCCTTAGGTGTGTGATGGGAAAGACGGTGGATGGGCAGATTGTGTTCAAAGTTACAATATCTGAGAAAGAGACCATGTTTTATTATCGCACAGTAAATGGTTTGCAGCCTCCAATAAAAGTAATGACACCAGGGAGAATTCTTATGAAGAAATGGATTCATCTCAGTGTGCAGGTGAGTGAAATAAAAAATATTTAACATTTGGTTAAACACGGGGATCTGTCATCCTGTCTCTCCTTTAAATGGCACCAACCCAGAACTATATCTAAATTCCGGGTATATGTAAATGACATCAAAGGAAGACAGGTATTCCAGTGACCTCATGCTCTATCTCCTGGTATAATAGTGACTTCTCCCCTTATGCTGCTGTAAAAAATCTCAGCCCCAGAGCTGAACGGCAATGATGCTGTGGGCAATAATCACATGTCTAGGGAATTTCTGCTTTATTTGGTCACCACATTTTGTGTTTAGACGCTGACTCCTTTAGAGCCCAGCACTGATCCTGCTGGTGATGGCGACATTTAAATCCTCACTTGGTTTCTATAGCTGTCTTTCTCAGATATTGTCTGATAACATGAAGGAAATTTGGCTGTGGCGTTAAATCAGTGACCTTGGAGCTGGTGGATTTTGCACTTGAGGCACTCGGGAGGTGCAGTATTATCGCTGTGGTTCTCAACCACAGTTCGGAAGAAACTTAGAGGCTTCAGATGTTGAGATAGGGGTGAGATGTCCGGTGTTTACAGTGTCTACAACAGAGACAGAGCAGCATTTTGTTTCTGTGGGATTTCGGGTGCCTTGGTGCTGCCAAACACACTTTAATATTTCAAACCAGAGGTAGAGTGTGCTCCATGTCCCAGGAGGTGCTCCCATCTGAGCACTCATCCAGGGATTAGCATAATTCTTTGTCACATTAGAGGACACTTGCAGCTTGGTTGATTTAATGAAAATTATCTTTGATTTCAAATACACATAGATGCACATGCATAACCATACATGAAGGATGTATATATTTATACACACTACATATATATGTGTGTGTATATATATATACATATACATACATACATATATATATATATATATATATATATATATATATATATATAAAGATAATCATAGTTGGTTAATTGATTTCATGGAGGCATTCATCATACCTACTCAGGTTTTTGGGTAAGACATTAGCTCGGTGAATGGTTGACGAAGCTCAGTATCCCTTGTGTTTCTGTGCCCCAGGGATAGAGGCAGAGAGTGGATCCCACATCACATCAGGCCCTGTAGTAACAGCTGGGGTCCATCCTGGCAGTCCTTAGTGTGTAGCCATTCAGTAGTTAACAGATGGGAAACTCTTTATCTTATATCTGGAAGTTGCCCATTCTATAATGATTGTGTGAGCAAATCGGGTTCTAGATTTTAAAATGGGGAAATGGGAACTTCTAGACAAAGAGACTTGGCCAACAATCCCAAAACATCTATGCTTCCGGCAGATTTTGGTGTCTGTCATGATGAAGATAATCTTTCTGGCTACCTTTGTTTTGCCTTGTCTGTGAAATTGGGTGGGGCTTTGGCAGGTATGGAAAGCTTTGGAAGCAAGTTCCAACTGCAAAGAGGCAGCCGTGTGGAAACTGCCATCCTGGGAGCAGTGCCTTGTAGGGCACACGGAAATCAACGTCCCATTTCCATGCATATCAGGGGGAAATCACTGCCAAGCTAAGGTGAATATTTGTTTTTAAATCTTCCCTTCTTTAAAGGCTAACATACTGATGGTTTAAGGTTTTTTATTTATTCTATTTTGTGTGCATGAATGTCTCGACTGCATTTAGTTAAGTGCACTTTCATGTGTATAGTGCCCGAGGAGGCCAGAAGGTGGGTATCACATCCCCTGGAACTGGAGACACACAGGTTGTGAGCTACCATGGTGGGGCTGGGAACAGAACCCGAGCCCCTGAAAGAGCATCCAGTTCTCTGAACCGCTGGAACATTATTTACTGTGCTGATCAATGACTTAGTGAGGCCGCTGGTGTTTTATTCTGTTTGTCTACTGTGTGACAACTTATCCTTTCTGATGCATCAGTTTTTGTTGTTTGTTTCTTGTTTCTCTTTCTGAATTAAAAAGTTATCGTTGAGTTTTTGAACAAGGCTCTTGGTTTTTGAACGAGGCTCTTGGTTGATGCTCTGCCTGATGTGGACGCTAAGCTGTTGCCCCGACTGGCTACAAACAGCAATCCTCCTGCTTCCGTTTTCAAAGTGCTGAGATTACAGGCATGTGCCACTGTGCCTGGCTGTTAGGTTTTTAAAATAAAATCGCTCTACTCTAATTAACTCACAAATGAACACATCGCGCAATTAGATTAATGAAGCTGATAGTGCTTGCCCATTTCCCAGTGCAGACACCTCAGCAGGGGTCTATGCAGTTGCAATGGTCATATGGAAGCCATCGAGCTTCTCTTAGGGCCTTACTCTTCGCTGTCAATCATGTTTTTATTTACTTATCTACAACGAAAACCTAAAGAGTAATTAGCGTTATAGCCTCTTTCATTGCTCATGTGTTCTTTCGTTACTATCCATAAACTATACAAAACTCTGGGTCTCATTGTAGCGGTTCCATGTATGCATGTATGATGCCCTCATCATCTTGGTCCCTTCTTAGCCATGGGTTTTGTGTGTGTGGTGTGTGTACGTGGGTGGGTGCAGGGATCCAAGAAAGCCAGAAGAGGAGATCGGGTGTTTGGTTCTATCACTGTCTCCACGGTATTCCCTGAGACAGGGTCTTTTGCTGAGTCTGCAGTTTGGCTAGGTCAGCAAGCTTGCATTATTGAATCTGATGTCGCCACTCCTGACAGCACAGTGGTCTAGGTGCACAAAGCCATGCCTGACGTTTTATGTAGGCGCTGGGGATTTGAACTCAGAACCTCACACTGGCACAGTGTTCTCTCTCTTATTTATCCATGGAGCCATCTTCCCATGTGCCTTTTTCCCCCCCAATACTCCTTCTGATTTCTCATCTTTTGGTTTGTTGTTTTTTTTTTATAGTCTACATTTGACAAAAAGAATGTGATGCTTATCTTTCTGTTCACTTTCTTGAAAATGACATAATTATATCATAATCTCAAAAAATAAAAAATTAAAGATGTTAACAAAGTACTATCTACAAGAGAATTAAAAAAAGTGAAAAATGCCAGTGTAGACAGAGGCTCCTTGCTTATTTCGCAGCTGCCCAGACCCAAAATTATCACACAAAAACTTTAATAATTATAATACTGTTTGGCCAATAGCTTAAGTAGATTTTTTAGCTAGCACTTACATTTTTAAATGGCTACAAATGATTAAATCTTTGGGCAACAAAGACACCAGGAAGTACCAGCCACATGAACAGAAGAGATCTAATATCTTGAGTGCAAAAATATCCAAAATTGTTTAGTGAAAGATGCACCAGCATTTATTTGAAAGCCAGCATTTTGAGATAAGAGTGGTCAGAAAATGGGAATTTTGTAAATTAATATTCATTCAGGAGTCTTATATGTTTTTTTATTTAAATTTTGCTTTTGGATTTAGTATATTGGCCATTTCCAATTATGCAAAAAGGGAATTTATTAAGCCACTTGTTTTTGGTGTTTTCGAGACGGGGTTTCTCTGTGTAACAGTTTCTCTGTGTAACAGATGTCCTGGAACTCCCTCTGTAGACCATGCTGACCTCGAACTCACAGAGATCCACCTGCCTTTGCCTCCCAAGTGCTAGAATTAAAGGCTTGTGACATCACTGCCCGGTTAAGCCACACTTTTTACACTGAAACTTGAAAAATTAGTTCATGTTTTTATTAAGCACAACAGAGATAATCATAATAGATTTTTAAGTGTGTAGTATCCATATTGGGTCAGTATATGTTATACCAACTAAGAGACAGGTTTTTAAATTTTTTGGAATATATGGAGAAATTTTATTGGGTCTTTTGTTGTGGATTGGCAGGCCAAACTACTTAGAAGTATGTACTTAGCTGTCTGTCCCTTGAAAATGAAACTCCCGAGTCCCTTGTAAAAATTCTCTTTGTCTGTAACCACTTCCCACATTTCAAGGAACTTATAGCTTCAAGGAATGGCTGGTAGAGTTTCTCTAGGAACTATGCTGAATTACAGTAAAACATGAGTTGTGACTGACGAAGTGTCAGGATAATGGCGCCTCAAGGATGATCTTAGCATGCTCTGTGGCCTCTTGAAGGCTTGTGGGTACACTGACCAACACAGCCACAGAGGAGCCCAGGCACAGCAGTACGAAGAAAGGCAGCTTGATGCAATGAGTGGAGAAAGTATTGTTAAATAAGCTTGAGCAATCAATAGGAGGAGAGGGGGAATAGAATCCTGGCTGTTTGTGAAGTCTGTTTTTGATTTATGTCTTCAGTTTGAAAAAGGAGAAGTATTAGGAGCTCTGGAGACAGACAAGCAGTTTAAGGAACAATTTGTTAGACTAGATAAATGAGGGTCCTGGCCTTGGAGTATCTGTACATAAGCACACTTAATATGGTTGTTTAAATGCTCCTGATGATGGGGGGACATGGGGCAGAGATGCCTTGGAAGCGCCCTCGGGCTAGAATGCTGTCTAGGGATGCTCATGGGACCCCCATTCCAGGATCTCTCCTCCACATTGTTCCTTTGCTAATTCTTATTGATTACACCTGTAACTTCATGTGTCTCGTCACATAAGCATGTGAGTGCATTAAACATCATTTCTTCACGCAGAGTCATATTTAAACATTTGGCTATCACCTAAGTTAGTTGAATGTTTTTGGATTATTCAGAGCAAAGTGAAAACACAGGATTTATGATGATTTCTTGGAACAATCAGTTAAAAATCAGAATAGCTGTTGCTAAGTCCGGCTCGTGTATATAATATTAGTCATCTTACAGGCTCACATTGCAAACGCTGATTGTCGCTGTAGTGCATTGACTGAAGCTGTTCCCATTGTGGGGGTGAGCAAAAGGGGGCCCTTAAGGGTTAACACAGCCTGCCTATTTGTAGTATTAAATTTAGCTAACCTTCAATTAAAATCCATAAATTACCCCAAGGACTGTAAAAAGGTTCAGTCATTAGAATAGCATCTTGCTCTTGCAGAGGCCCAGAGTTGATAGCCAACACTCACAATGAGCAGTGCACAACAGTAACTGCTCTACCTCAGGTGACC